CAGCTAACGGCGCCACCTGCAGCCCGCGAGGCGGAGCAGCCGCGTGCGAAGCGTTTACCAGGGAAGCGTGGGGAGGCGAAGCTCCCTGTCAGCTCTCCTCCCTGCTCCCAGCGCTCACCCAGGCCAGCAAGCCAGGCCATGCGCCCCGGGCCCAGCTTTGCCGCTGACCGGTGGCCACGGGGCTCATGGCCTCAGGACGCGCCCATCCCAGCGGCACCGCTCCTCCCACCTTGTGGTTTGCCTCAACTAAAGCTGGCAGTCGCATCGTGTATCCAAGCGTCCCCTACCTGACTGCGGTCCTCAGAGCCAGCCGGGTCCCTAGGCCAGCTGCAGATGGACGGGCTCTGTCCGGCCATCCTCACCGCAGTGTCTCCCTCGCTGCCTTGGGTCAGTCCCAGGACGTGAAGTTTGTTTTTGTATTCATCAACTGCTCCTGCATCCTGTGCTTACCAGGGGCGGGCGCTGCTGTCAGCACTCTTAACTGTTGGTGGGGCTCTTGGGTCCCCCCAGCAGGAACTGGGCCATCATCTCACTCTTGACCGGATGTGAAGCCCGAGCGAAAGCCGGAATTGCCTGTCCAGGGCCGCGAGTCCTGGCCCCCATTCTGTCCTGCAGCCTGGGCCAGAAAGTTTCGGCAGGAAGTTTTGGAAACACTTCCTGTATCAGAGCTGGGGTCACTGGAGGAACCGATTTAATACAAATCTCTGTGCAATGTTAAGATGTACAGGGTAGGCTCACTTGGCTGCCTGTGGAGTCCGCGTGGCAGGAAGCAAGGTGGTGACTTCACTCTGGCGAGCCGGAGGACCCAGGCGACAGTCGAGGACCTGGAGCTCACTGCAGGATCTAGTGCGAGCCCCGAAACCAGAGCGTCTGCGGTGGAAGGCTGGAGAGCCTGCGCTGGAAGACCAACGTCCGAAGGCCGGGGCAGAGGCTGGAGCTCCTCCAAAGGACCAGAAGCGGGGGCTTCTTCCTCTCCCCTTTTACTCCACCCCAGCTCCAAGCCTGTCTGTGAGTCAGTGCTGCCCCCATGGCCACAGCGGGGTCTTCCCTCTTCAGCTTGCAGCTTGAGAGTCCAGCACGGATGCACCATAAGCGCTCTTCCAATCTGCCGGGCGTTTCTTATTCAAGCTAAGAGCACAATCAGCTAATGCACATCGATCTTGGGCCTCGTCTATTTTTGCTATGTATTTTTTTCTGTTTGCACATTTTTTTTTCCAGAGTTTGAGTTTTATTGTGACGCCGCTCAAGCCTTGACAGCAAACTTGCACAGAGGGTACATTCGTTCCTTCCGCTGCTGCTTCTTGGTCTTTAGCTTCTCCTCATGCTTATTGAGCTGGCGGCGCGTGGCTCGCGTCTTCTCTGGCCGCAGGTCCAGGGCTTGTACTTCTTGCCCTTGTAATATTTCCTGAGGTTTTCTTTCTGGGTCTGGTTGATGACAGTGAGAATGCGGACGATGGATTTGCAAACAGCTCGGATCTTGGAGAGCTTGGACGCCGCGCCGCCTGTCACTTTAGTGATGCGCAGCTATGACAGCTCCACCTTCAGGTCGTCTAGCTGTTTCAACGACTCTTCTTTCTTCTTGCCGCGAAGATCCCGAGCCTTAATCTTAGCCATAGTTGCAAAAGAAGCTGTTTGCACATTTTTAAGTAGAAAATATAATTATACTGGAAATGAATAACGGCTACGAGGTGTTGGGAAATCTCCCATGTGGGGTCACTTTGGAAAGCAAAGGAGGCAGTTTGCTGGAGAGTCTTCAGATATTGGGGAGCAAAATCTTCTACATAATGCATGGGTCAGAGAAGAGTGGGGAGAGTAGAGATGCTCTGAATTGAGTGAAACATTATAAATAAAAGGTAGCTGGGACACTGACAAAGTAGTATTGAGGGGGCAGTTTGTACAGGTTGGTATCCCATATCCAAAGTGCTTGAGGCCAGAATTGTTTCGGATTCTGGAGTTTGTCCAGTTTTAGATTTTACCAGCTGAGCATTCCTAATCAGAAAACACAAAATCTGAAACACTCTGAATTCGAAGAGTTTTGAATGTCATCCTGGAGCTTAAAAACTGGCGAATTTATGACATTCACATGAAGGATATTCACCCTGGTGATAAATGCCCGTAGTAGAAAAGAGGAAAAGTCTCAAATCAGTAACTCCAGCACTGAATTTAAGAAATCAGTAGGGAAAGAGTAAATCAAACCCAAACTAAGCAGAAAAAAAAGAAAGAATGAAGGTTACAGTGGAAATCAAAAGAATGAAAACAACAGAGAAAGTAAGCAAAACAGAACTAGTTCTGTCAGAAGCCCTAAACCGAACAGACTTCTAGCCGTACCCACCAGGGGAAAAAGAGAGGACATCAAGTACATCACTACAGATTTAACAGACAGTCAGAGGCTACCAAGGGACTACTGTCAACAGCTATGTACTAGAGTTTTGATTATCGAGATGAAATGGCAGGGACTGTGGTATGGCTCAGCAGACTAAGCACTTGCTTAGGTAAGTGCAGGTGCCAGGGTTCAATCCCTGGCACTGAGTGCCGTGCTGGCCCCGCCTCCAGGCACACTGAGCTGAGATGGAGTCTGGGCGTGGTGGCACATGCCTGTAATCCCAGCACTAGGTAGGCAGAAATCAGGAGGATCATTATGAGTCTGAGCTGTGTAGTGAGACCTTGCACACCACACACACACACACACACACAGACAAAAACCTTAGTTAAAAAAAAAATGGATAAGTAGTCATTAAAGGGTCATTAAAAGGAAACAACAAGGGGGCGGGGAAGATGGCTTAGTGGAATAAGTGCTTCCCTGGCAAGAGCAAAGGCCTGAGTTCAATCACAGGTTCTGAAAAAAAAAAAAAAAAAAAAAGAAGGAAACAGATCAGCTAATTAGCATATAGCCTTTTGTGGGAAAGGTCTTGCTATGTAGTTCAGGCTGGCCTCGAACTCACCACCATCCTCCTGCCTCAGCCTCCTGAGTGCTGGGATTCATTGAGTCATTTTAAAAATTAAAGTTGTAATTAAATGCCATACTATTAAAAGAAAAACAGGGTCACATGGTCACACTGGTGAATTTTACCAAACATGTAGGAAAAAACCAATAGCAATTCTTCAAATACCCTTCCAGGAATTGCAGAGAAGTGAATTCTTCCCAACTTATTCTACGGCTAGACTTTCTCTGATTCACACCATGCCTCCATAGAATCATTTGTTAAAACCCCTAGCATCTTCTACCAGAGTTAACTCTAAGAGTTCTGCTTAATACATGCTTCCTTTATAAAAATAAAGGATCTACTGATTTGCTAAATTTTTCAAGTTATAATAATTTCTTTTTTCAGTGTAGGTGGCCAAATTCAGGGCCTTACACTTGTAACCAGGGACCGTTTCGCTCAGCCATATCCCCAGCTGTTCGAATTTATTTTTTAATTGCAGATTATAAGATAGTGAAACAGGAGCTTTTGTCCAAGATGGAGAGATGGTGGCTCCAGGAGGAGTCTGTCCAGGTGGCATTTACCTGTATGGGTTGGTGGGACTCAAAGCGAGAGACCCCCGGCCTCGGGGCCTGCGGTCATCAGCAGAGGGCGTCTTTCACCTGCGTCCTCCGCTGCCAGTGTGGTCTGAGAACGATCTAACAGTGCTCTGTAAGTCTCCCAGGCTGAGGCAGCTCTCGCTGGGCCGCTGCATGGACGAAGGAGGCCGCAGTGTGGGTTGCTGCTAAGTCGTGCGGCGGGCAGCGGGTAGCAGCCAGCAGGGTCCGATGCCTGGGGATTGTTTGAACTTGTTCCTCCTTCTGATTTATGTCGTCTGTTTCTCTGATATATAGGGATTCTCATAGAAGAGAATCCCTAAGACACATCGCTTTTGTTTCACTTACATCACTCATCTCTTCTGTTCACTGAGAAGAAAGCCGTGTGCCCTTGTTTGTCTCTTCTTGAGACTCTTCTGTCTGACTGGTACTCAGTGCCATTTGGCTGTTCTTTTAAGGTCATGACATACAGCATACTGCTGTTCTCTATTTTGTTATGAAATTTTGTTTTAGTTTTTCATAGAAGTGCTTTATATTTTTCATAATTACTTGTATTACATTGAAATAAAAATTTTTAAAGGCTGATAATAATATGGGATATAGCCTCAAGTCCCCACGAAGACAAGAGAGGAGGGCAACCCAGGCTGTGGTCCAGACCTGGTGGAGGCCAGGAGTCCTCCTCGGCCCCTTCCGGCAGTGCACGAGGTGCCCTCTCCTCGCTGCTCTCTCACTGAAAGGACCAGGGTTGTTGTAACAGCTTGGGAGTGGCACGCCACAGTGTCTCCTGGGTGGCGGTGACCGCTGATCCATGTCCTCCACAAGGAAGAAGTCCCGTCCCTAAGAGAAAGGCGTCTCCAAAACACACTTAGGGTCCCCTGGGAAGTTGTCCACCCTCCCGACCCGCAGTCCTTAGCCTCTCTTCCCTTTGTCCTGGCCCAGGCCGAGCGCCCCCTGAGTCCCGCTCCCGGTCCTGCCTTCTCCCGACTGGGGTCCCTCCTCATTTAGCACCCCCCTAGCGCTCCCACCGCAGAGTGGCGCTGCCGCCTGCCTGCTCTCGCTCCCCGCGTCCCTAAGCAAGGCTGTGCATGTCTTCCGTGGCAGGCACAAGCGCAGCTACAGCTTGAGGCAACACAGCAGAGAGAGGGAGAAAATAAAGAGGCCAAGGCGCGAGGGGCTGGCCCAAGCCAAGGAGAAAGCCCCGCCTAGACGGCGAAGAGCTCCCGCTGCCGGGATTCTGTGCAGCCTCCAGAGCTCCCTGGCGGGCTCCTCCCAACTCCTTTCTGACCCATTTCCTGCCCGAAAAACTGAGACCCAGTTGCCTAGCAGCAGTGGCTGTGGCTCGGCCCTGCGGCTGCACCGCCCAGAGGGCCCTCTCCCCTGGCTAGCTTCCCCCCAAACAAAGACTCTGGAGCCGGGAACGTCTTCGCTGATTTATGCTCTCTGCGCCCTGCTCTGCTCCTGCAGACGGGGTGAGACTAGCCAGTGCAGGGGGCGGCTCCACGGAGGCTGCGCCGAGCGCTGCGGCAGGCGGCCTGGAGTCAGTCCCAGTCCTCCAAGGCGTCCGTGTCGAGAGCGTCGGCCCAGGCGACCAGGTCGTCTACTTCGTCTTCCCAGGAATTGTGCTTGTAGTAGTTGTACGCCAGGTCCTCATCCGACGAGTCATCCTCCGGGTCCCCGGTCCCGGGGCTGTGGCCTGCTTCCGGTTGTGACCCAGGTGGAAGCTCTTCTGCAGTGGGAAACAGGAAAAGTGAACATGCAGCGCACGCTGCAGGAGGGGCAGCAAACGCTGTCCCGCACTGCCAGAATGACGTGGAAGCCCTTCTCACGGCTTTGTCTGGACGTCGCCCCAAAGCCTCCGAGCTCACAGGCGGGGCTTTCTGAGGCGGCTGGATTTAGGGTATGTGACGTGAAAGGGCGCGTGGTAGCTGCCTTAGTCCACGGACTGGCTTGACGGTCCAGCGGGGGGGGCTCCCTCTGGGAATGAGTGGCACCAACCAACAGGCTTGCAGGCTGAAGGGAATAAAAGGGAAAGCGAGGCTTGCTTCTGTCTGCCCACCCTGCCAGGACTGTTTCTCCTGCCCGGGAGCCAGCCCATTATGGATGGAAACCTCTACAAACCTTGGGCTAAAACAGACTTTTCCTTTAACTTATAGGTGTTGGGTCTTTTGATCTAACAAGGAGAACATAACTGAGAAATCTCATTGAAAGCAGGAAACCTTTTAAAACTTTCTAAGTTCACGTTTTATAATGAAACTTGGTCTGGGAGGATGGCTCTTGGTCTCAGCACCTGCCTGGCAAGCACAAGGACCAGGGTTCAATCCCTGGTGCCTCCTACCAGGCATGGTGGTGCACACCTATAATCCCAGTGCTGGGGAGGCTGAGACAGGAGGATCACTATGAGTACGAGTTTCATAGTGACACCCTGTACCAAATAAATCAATAAAAGATTAAAAAAGATAAAGAAACTTGCTACGAATCATCCTTTCTACCTGTTCCCTCTTTTTATCCTTTGTTAGCTCACTCATATTCGTTCTAGAATCCCACTGCTGTGCAAGGAAAGACGCATCGCAAACACAGCAGCACTGGTGGGGACAACTGGGTGTCAGTGGGGCAGGCAGGAGCAGTGTTCTGCTGCCTGTGCTCCTCGCCTTCTCAGCGTGGGCCCTGGGAAGCCGCCTCTAATCAGCCGTTTGTAAATTTTATTTTATTTTTAAAATTTTATTTTAAAGAGAAGAATGAAACAAAATTTCAAAGTAAGATAATAGGGGAGTAACTATACATATATCTATCTATATATTGCCCTGGGGATGGCGCTCAGGACCTTGTGCTTGCTAAGCAGGCATCTGAGCTGCCGGGCTGTCCCTCCCAGTGGGAGTAACAATAATTAACACACTGCATATTATCTTTATTTTTTAAAAAAAATATTATTACTATTTTTAATGTATTTAGTACAGGGTCGCACTACACAGCTGAGACTCATAGTCATCCTCCTGTCTCAGCCTCCCCAGCGCTGGGATTACAGCCGTGCGCTCCCATGCCCAGACCAACATGTGGTCCCACGGACAGAGCCCCCGTCTCTGTGTTGGCCTAATCAGGCACTTAGTCTGCTGAGCTGTCTCGCTGGCCCATTATCTTCAGGGTAGTTACTCAGAGGACAATATATAGGCATTTAATTGTCTGAACAACATTAGCATACGCGTTTCTTTTCAATGAATTGAGAAACCAGTAGTATAACTATCTTAATTAATGTATTTCCTTTTCCCTCCGTTCTCTTCCTCTTTCCCCATCCCCGTTTTTCTTTCCTTTTGAACTATGTCTTCTCATTTCACAATAGATATTATACATTTTGGCCCTTACTTACTCTTTCAGCTTCTCACACTAGCAAGACAGTATAATGGGAGTTTGGTGTGTCTCACTTATGACTGTGGTCTCAATGCATCCATCTACCTATGAAAGTCTGCAGTTTATCCTTCTTTATGGCTGAGGACTACTCCATCATGTAAAAAGGCCACATCTTTTTATCCATCCCTTGGTTGATGGGCATTAGGTTGTTTCCAGGATTTAGCTGTGACACTCCGTGCTGCTATGAACATGGGTGTAGACATAGCTGTGTGGGACGATGTTTCTAATTCTTCTGGGAAGACACCCAGCGGGAGAGTAGCTGGGTCATCAAATGGGACCTCCGATCCTAATTTTTTTAAAATTCATTTTAATGAGAAAAAAAAGATAAAATAGCAATGAAACAGTTTCAAAACAGGGTAGTAGGACAGTTACAATAATTAATACATTGCATATTGTTGTCTTCGTAGTAGTTATTCAGAGAACAAGATGCAGACATGATGTCTAAACAATATTAGTACAAACTTTTATTCTCAATGTCCTAATTTTTTGAGCAGTCCCCCCACTGATTTCCACAGTAGCTGCCCCAGTCTACGCTCCCGCCGTAGTAGAGAGGTCCCCCGTGCGCCACCCACCCCGCAGCCGTCACAGTATTTGTTATTGGGTGACTTCATGATAGTGGTCATTGTTTCTGGGGTGAGATGGAATCTCAGCGTTGGTTTAGTTTGCGTCTCTCCAGTGACTGGTGATGCTGGACCTTTCTCATATATTTAATTGCTGTTTGTACTTCTTCCTCTGAGAAGACCATGTTCAGACGGGGTCTTTAACTTGGGAGGTCTGTTTCTTTGAGTTCTTTATGCGTTCGATAGTAATCCTTTGTCTGAGGAACAGCTGGCAAATCCTTCTTCCCGCGTGTGGTGTCTCTTCACTCTGTCAGTGGTTTCTCTTGTTGTGCAAAAGCTTTTCAATATGATGAGATCCCAGTTGTCGATTCTTTGTGATAGTTCCTGTGAAATCAGGCCTTTATTCATAAAATCTTTGCCCACACCAGTGTTTTTGAGAGTTTTACCTATCCCATCTTCCAGCAAGACTGATTGATTGACTGACTGATTTGGTGCAGGGTCTTGCCTATGCAGCTTGGACTCGTAGTGATCCTCCTGTCTCAGCCTCTCCAGCTCCGGGACTACATGTGTGTGCCACCACACCTGGTTTTGGTGGCTGGCATGGTGCACCCAGGGTTACGGGGTTGGCACGGTATGTGGTATTGGCGGGGTTCGAACCTGGGTCCCTGTGCTTGCCAGGAAGGCACTTAGAGCGCTGTGCTAACTCCCCAGCCTCTTCCAGCAAGATTTATTGTTTCTGTTTTATTAGTCAGATCTTTGATCCATTTCAAATTTAGTTTTGTGCATGGTGAAAGGTACAGGTCCAATTTTATTCTTCAGCATGTGCCCAGCCAGTTTTTCTAGCGCCACTTGTTAGGCTATCTTTCTTTCAGTGGACATGCTTGGTACCTTTGTCAAAGCTGAGGTGGCTGACTGTTCTGGAGTTGTTTCTCCATCTTCAAATCTGTCCCATTTATTTTTTTATTTTTTTTTATTTATTTATTTTTAAAATTTGATGGAACTGGGGATTGAACTCAGGCCCC